CCCCCCCCCCTCCCCGGGAACTGAGGAGGCCCCTATCCTACCAAAATCTGTCCTAATGACCTCCTCCAGCTCAGGGCACCAGCCTTTCCCACCACAGCCCTCCTGACCCACCTGGCATGTGGCCCCACCAGGTCACTGCAGACTCCTGTCCCTCCAGAGAGGTGGGGAGTGTTTCAGACCTTCCTGGAGGACAATGGTCCTGTCCCAGGTGGCAGTCCCCTTCCCAGGCAGAGTCCCGCCCCCATTCTGGACCCCGCAGGCAGGGGCTGGGGGTGGTTGAGGAGAGGTATCAGCTGGGAGCACTGGCTCAGGTGCTCTCCTGAGCACATGCTATCTGGATGTGACTCTGGGTGCCCTCGTCTGGGGTGGCCTGCTTGCTGGGGCTTCCCTGAGCCTGCTGCCCCTGTGGGGCAGAGGGGAAGAGGGCACCGGCCCAGGGAGACTGTGGGAGTCTGTCAGTGTCCTAAACACTTGCGAGCCCAGCCCGAATGTCATGACTGTGTGGGAGCGAGTCTGACTCAGGCAGTCTAGGGACACGTGTGCTGGAGCCCGTGCTAGAGGTTCTGTGAGGACTGTCCGTGGTAAGATCCGATCTTTTCTGAGTACTTACTATGGGCCGGGAATGCTGCTGACCTCCCAAGGGTCCCTGCTTAAGCCCATTTTGCAGAGGAAGACTGAGGCTTGGAGAGGTTAAGTAATGAATGTTAGAGCTAGGGTTCTACTAGTTAAATACTAGGGTTTCACTGGTTAATAAGGGTCAGGCCGGTTGGCAGTGTTAACCACCGTACTGAGCTGCAGGACAGAGGAGGGCAGGGACCTGAAGGGCTTCTGCAGTGCTTGTTGGCTCATAAGTCACTTAGTCTCTGCCCTCAACTGGGCTCCAAACTCCCCCTTCCCCACCACCACCCATATAAAAGTCGCCAAATCCCTCAACACTTAAACCTCCATTATCCAGGGGGAAAGAGAGGCAGAGTCAGGGCAGGGATTTGGGGGTCCCAAGGTGTAGCATTTAGACAGAGTGTATATTTCATTTTCTGACTGGTTCTGTGCAGGGGTCCTCAACTCAGAAAACCCTGTCATGTGCCAGAGTCCTACTCACAGCCTTCCTTCTTGTCACTGTCCCCCAGGCCCTTTGTCTCCCCACACCCAGCAATTCAGCCTGCCTCCTTTGTGCCCCTGAACCCCCAAGCAGTCCATTCCCCCATGTGCCGGTGCTTCACGGGACCAGCCCCTGATGGTGACAGCCTGTGCCTGCCTGTGCCAGCCCATGCCCGCCGGTGCCAGCCTGCACCCCTGCACCAGGGCAGCTGGCCTGGGCCAGGCTTGGCTGGCTCAGGGCTCCAAGGGCCGGCTCTGGGCCTGGCATAGCTCCACTCCTGCCTTGCTCCTGACAAAAAGGCACCCTCCACCCTGGGCATTCTAGAATGTGCCATAGGGCAGATGGTATAGGGAGACAACTGGGTCACACTTAGTGGGTCAGAAGGTTCTGCAAAAGGCAGTGTTTTCATTACTTTCTCACCAGTGCTTAGCACAGTGCCTGGTGTGTGTGACCCAGGCTGTGTGTGTGTGTGTGTGTGTGTGTGTGTGTGTGTTCGCACAAGGCCTTGGCACACAGCGGAGCTCAAGGTACATCTGATTGGGCTGACTGGTCTCTAGTGCTCCCCAAAGGCCACTCCAGGAGCACACCGATCCCAACCCCTCCCCAACCCCTGTCTCTTGAGCCTACAGGTCTCAGTCCCCAGAGGGTGCCCAGGCCCCTTTAGCCCAAGGTGACTGATAAAAGTCTGGATTAAACTAAACTGTGCAATGAGCCTTGGGATTGTGTTATTCATGATGTATGCCTATGGTAAGTGATAACATATTCTGACCACTGTGGGTGATGAGTGCTCCAGGGGGAGTGATCCTCCTGGTGGATCTCGGAGAAACAAGGCAGTAACTGGGTCATCAAGCCCTGTGCTGGGTGGGGACACACACACACACACACACACACACACAGACTAGACATAACCCATAAACAGACACAGACACGTGCATATACACAGAGACATAAAGACCAGACCACACATATATGCAGGGGCATATAGACAGACACAGCACATGGATGCAAATAAACGTCACATGCATGTGTGCACGCGCGTGCACACACACGTGCACACACACTCACACTCTCTCTCTCCAGCACTGCTGGTGGGCACCTGCCCCGAAGTCTCCAGCCCCAGCCCCAGCTCCCTGGTCATCTGTTTCTGCTTTGCTCTGGCACACTCAGGGTAAGTGCCTGGAGCCGAAGCTCCTCCCCAGTCCGCACCCTGCCCCCTCACTGAGCTCCCAAGACTGGCAGGCAGACAAAGGGCAGGAAGCAAACAATGATTGAGCACCTTCTCTGAGCCAGACTTCAGGACGTGGTGCGGGAGCACCACCAGGCGTTTTCAAACTTTTTGGAGCTGCAGAACCCTCTGTTTAAAGGGAACTTCCAGGAGGTGAAGCAGATTCCAGAGGAGCTGCTCTGGCTAAGTGGGGAAGGGATCTGGAGCCCTAGTCTCTCTCCCTTCCCCCAGCCAAACCGTGGCCCCAAGGCAAGTCCAAATAGCCAGAGACTTCCTGCAGGGCGCGCCACTGCCTCACGGAACATTCCAAACAGCCCCGTAAAATAAGTGTTCCGTGGAGAAACCGACCCTTCCACCAGGAGTAACTTGCCCAGGCTCACAAAGCTGTGAGGAGACAAAGCAATATCACTGGCTCCCGCCTGTGGATTCCAAAGCCTGCGATGGCTCACAGTGCCCCAGAGGCTCCCCGTCAGGAGGACAGCTCCCTGCGTTTGTACAGTATCCAGAGCCATACTTCTAGATTCTTCCATGACTAAACACCCTGCTGACCCTAGAGACCCGAGGCTCTGTGTGTGTGTGTGTGTGTGTGTCTGTAAAGATACATGAGTGCGTATGTGAAGACGTGTGGGGAAGGGAGTGGGAGTGTGTCAAGTGTGTAAAAGTGTATGAGGCAGTATGCGACACGAAGAGGCAGAGTGTGTGTGCACATGTGAGAGTGTGTGAGACAGAAAGGGTGTGAGTGAACACATGAGAGAGAGTGCGAGGGCGTGTGTGGGTGTGCCCCCGGGCCTGCCCTTGGGGGGGGCACTGAAAACTGGTGCAGCGGGGATGGGCTCGCTGTGTGAGTGTGCCTGTGCGACCTCGTGCGTCCACTGGCCGCAGGAGGATAGAGCCCAGCTGTTCTCCACCAGTTGAACGGGACACACAAGTAACAGGGCGCTTTGCTAGGCACCGGGGACACCGAGACGAAGAAGCCGGTGCCTGCCCTGGGGGAGCTCACAAACTTCTAATCGGAGGCAGACACACCTCCACAGGTGGGCTCCAAGGGTCTAGTCAAGAGCAGAGCTGACATCTAACCATGTGCACGTGGCGGCATCCGAGGGGCTTCCCGGCAAGGGCAGAACTGCTGGGTTCAAGTCCGGAAGTGAAAGTGGCAAGGACAGAGAAGGGTGCATGGTCGGGGAGAGGTGGCACCCGGTGGCTTCCCCACAAAGGGAAGTGGATATGAGGCCGGGGTTGGGGCCGAGGAGGGAGTGCCACGTGTTGAAACACCACTCCCTACCTCCACCGCCACCGAGAGACACTCAGCTCTCAGCCCGTGGCCTCCTGTTGACCCTCCCCCATACCCAGGGCCGGTTCCCTCTCTCCCCTCCCCCAGCTCCCTCAGGAGACAGCTCTGGCTGTTCAGGAGGCAGAGAAAGGATGTGGGTGGCCGGATGTTGAAGTTTAAAAGG